TTTTTTAAAAAGACACAAATAAAATTAGTCTACAAGAGATGTTACACTATCAAAACATATGCTGAAATCAACAACAGTCAAGGCTCTATCATGGTATTTTGTTCTTCACTGGTATTTACATTATTATACTCTTATGTATTGCCCTGGAAATCAGCTTTGAAGTGGAATGAAGAATAAATGAAGATTTATTATTACTATCCTTATTAGAGGGATTTTAAAGTCATTAGAGACCAACAAGACATAATAATCATATTATATTCAATCTTCTCTAGAACATCTCCTTTGATAGGCCTGCTAACTCAATTATTTAAATATATATTACAGCAAAATGCAGCTTGCCTTCTACAGTTTGGGATAACATGAAAATTTTTATGTTTTGTTTTCAGTTAACCAGAATTCATTCCTACAAAATTTATGAGTTTCATGGTGAGTTTCTCAGCTTTAAACACTAGAGTTCCAAATTCACAGTGAACATCCGATTCAATGTGTCTGCTCAGTTGAAAAAACAGGTTAAAAGCTGGGGAGGAACTAAGGCACTGGAGTACAACCTTAAACTATAGCAACTTTTAAAAATAACAAAAAAAAAATCCTCAAAGAAGTGATGAACTCTCAAAATAGTCAATAGGCTTGGCTTCAACCAGCCCCAACAAGGAAAGAAGGAAAAAGCTTATAGAAGCTCTGAGTTAAAAGAGAACCATAACCGCCCCACTCCGAGCAGTACAGAAAATACCTTCTGGGTTCACAGTCACATCTATAGCCAAGCAAAATGTACGGGCTAGAAAAAAAATAAATCTAAACATTGTATACCTGGAAATCACCTCCTTTTACGCTAACGAAGGACGGAAAAACCCCAAGGCAAACACGATAACGCCTGACGAAAGCTTTGGAAATGGTGCGTGGCCTTCTGGACTGGTCACCTTCTGAGGTGGCAAAACAAGCGTAAGGCTTATGCGGCGCACGCTGAGTGACAACAGGGAGGCAGAGGGCAAAGCTGCGGCAGTTGTGTCAGTGCTCGCAATTCCGGCAGGGCTGCTTTGCCTGCTTCTCCCCCGAAAGGGAAGGGAAGAAAAGAGCTGAAGAACTAGAAGTGTGCTCATAGCAAGGGAAATAAAAGTTTGCAACGCAGTAACAATGATGTTCCGGCAGCTTTTGCAATGTGAACAGGAATTATCTGAGGCACAGGAGAGTAAAGAGCTGTACAGGAATTACTTAGGTCCTTTCAATCCTTCCTTTACTCATGAAGCCTGTACCATGAGCCTACCCCAAATGAGAAGCTTGGAGACACCACCATTTACACTGTTCTGAGACAACATCAATGTCTTCTTCAGTTCAGACAACTCAGATGTTTCCCTGCCTCCACTACATGTACAGCAGACCTCTTCAATAGCTAGAGTCCATGTTTAACAACCACACAGGACTTCTGCCACCAGACACTCTCATAATAGTTACAGTTCTTTTACATCACTTACAAGAGTGAACCTTACAACCTCAGGCCCTTCTTCCTTGCCTTCTGAAACTTCCACCGTTATTCAACTTGACAACAGAGATGGTGTAGCCACAGGGTCTCTATCACCATAGGCTAGCAATGGCAGTTCTTCTTGCTCAGTACAATGGTATCCATGACCCAACTAGTTCGTTCCTCAGCAGCTCCAATTTGTTACCTGTGGAATTGCCGTTACAGCAGTGAAGCAAAGTGGGAAAGCTCAGGAGCACCAAAGACAAGAGTCCACAGAAGAAAATCACAGGAACAACTGCCTTGTTGCCAATGCACTTCTTTGTGGGAAAAGAGTGGGAAAGCAAAGGCTGTTCAGCTACGTGTTTAATGCTTTACAACCACGTGCTACAAAAATCCCTAAGTGGCAAAAAAAACCCCAGCAGCCTAAGGCAAAGGTAAGAGCAAAACTAGCTACAACTAGATTTCCATACCTCTCCTCACTCAAAATGATCCACTTAAAGCAAAAGCAAGCTGAAAAGCATGATCCTTACTACTGACTCTTTCTGCAAGTTGTCTGGCGATGATGTTCAAGGAAGAACAAAGGGCATCATTTTCACCTCAGGTGTTAGGAAAAGAGTGGGGGGCAATATACTGCAAGCCACGTTTTCCAGATCACACCCGCTGCCCAGAGAAGGCAGCACCAGCACTGAGGTATTTCCCTTTAATTCTGTCATTGCTGTTCCAAGTCCTTCAGGATTCCCTCCACCTTGTGTAACATCCAAGACAGCCTGGGCTACTACAAAGCTCATACCTGCTATTTCTGCACAGGCACTTTACGTTAGATTAGTCCCCAGATGAGAACACCGCAAGTGCTCATCATCTGTGAACTTATATGCATACTAATATTCTCAGGATGTTATTGACACCATTGCTACATCAGCCACCTTCCCATTCCACTTGTCATCCCTGTTTCTTCTACTTTGCTGCCTCCTTCCCCCGAAATACTTCTCTTACAGACTGTTGCCAATTCCCTTTCCGCTACCTTCTTGCTCCTCATGAACCACCTGATTTCCCTGCCACTCACCTTCGTCCTGCTCTGCCTAGTCATTCTGGAGTTAATTTTCAATGGCTAGAGGCTGCAGAGACACCCTGCTCTTGGCCACTGGCTGGATGAGGCACTGCTGTCCCTTCCCAGAAACAAGGAAGGAAACAATCAGCAGTTCTTGGCACCTGGATCTGGATAGGGAAACGCACAATGGAAGTGCTTCCAACGACGCTGTGGATTCTCCTGTATCTCTGGAACCTACTTCGCTAAGATTTGTCATCCTGGCTGAGATCATCTGTTCCAGCCTAGCACGACTATGCTATCAGGAAGCTGATGACGACAGCCCTCCGATATGGCACTGATTTCCTGCTGGATGACTTAAGGAATAACTCTGCAGAATGTGCTACGAGGAATTAATTTGGGACTAACAACATGAAAGTTTAGTAGAAAACGAAGCAGGCAGAATACTCTGAGTTTTCAGATCTAACTCATAACAAACAACGCAATGCCACTATTACTGCCAATGTGGAAGGAGGAGGAGCAGGAATAGCATTCATCTCCTGTGAGAGAGCTCTAGGCATCTGGCAAGTCCAGAAGATTGTTAAGGACAATAAATATGATGTTAAGGTGTCACCTTCTTGCCTCTCTTTTTTTTATATTGAAAAAATGGTGTTCAGGAACTATGCAAGGCATTGTACATGTGAAAGCACACTTTTTCCTGCTTCTGGGCACTTAAACGTCCTGTTGATAGTTTAAAATTCTGAAGAGGAGAGCAGTAAAGTCACTCATGTTCCAATTCACCTTTCTTTTATGCCCAATTCCTGATCCAGAGGCCACCCCTCAGCAGCAAGGGAAAAACACGGTTTTTGCACTCATTCTGGCTACAGTAAATTGTAAATAGTAAATTGTTTAAGTCACAGACTCCAGCTCTATGCTAAAAAAGATCAGTCACTGAAGTGGATCTTCGGCCATGACAAACTGCGTATCTAAACTATGTGCCAGAAAATGGTTAAGAGCAGGTAGTATCCTTGCCACTGATATGATTCTATAAAATAGGGAATGATTATCAGCTCGCAAGTGGATGCCAGAACAGCTAAGTGATACCCTGACACCAGTCCAGCTCTGTAAAGCAGGAGCCCTCTAAAATCCCTTAGGTCTTCTTGATCCCCTGCCTCCAGAAGTTACTTTAGGTTTCTTGTCATTAAAATTATGATTTTTGACCTGCAGTGGGAACTTAAACAAACAAACAAACAAACAAAAACCAAGGCAAAGATGTTGCCAAAAATCACCCCCTCGCTAAATAGCAGCTAAAATATAAACAAAAATTCCTCTCGGAAACTAATAGAGCTTTTTGTTAGTGACAGCACTTAAAACCTATTTAAATAAAAGCAACACACTGAACTCATAATTCCAAAACCAGCATTGCTTGGCTTCACAAAGGAGCACACACGGGAAAACAAGCCATCATTGAGGTTTGCTGAACTGCTTTCTCTTCAGATTACGCCTCTCACTTTGGGATTCACTGCTGGGAGCAAGTTAGCCTCCAGAAAGCTTGAAAGAGTGAAATATCATTGCTTTTGAAATTAACAGGAGACCTCTTTTGCTGCTAGATGCGTCACTCCCTACTACACAAACAACTGCTAAAAAAACCACCAGAGAAGTTTGGCATTCTCAGTAGCAATGCACCTATTTTAAGAATAACAGTACCAAGTTAGCTTATTCACAGCTGACTTTGAGATAGGTATCTGGGCAGATCTAGAAATATGGAAGACTGTTCAGAAATTAGATGATTCCTAACCTTTTAAAAACTGAATTATGACATCAATCACTACCTAAAAAACACTTAATGTACACTAACAGCATCTGGGGGGTGGGGCAGTCGTGAACCTGACTATGCATCTTATCTCATATCGCTTTACCTCTCCTGATGGAGAGGTAAATATCTGTGACAAGACCTGGATCACAGATCAGTCTTCCCACATAGTGAAACAGATGTTTTCATCCCACGTTCAGAGCTTCCCAGCACCGCTGAATCCCTCACAGAAGGCTATTTCTAGTTTTGCTGTACCTTCAAACCCTGTTTGCTACAGGATTTCAGAACTAATGTTTTATTGCTTTACAGGACAACAGTATTGAGGAATTATTTTTCTTACTGAATAGGGTTTTATTTTAGGAAATGAGTCAACTGTTTTGGTACCTAATGACAAATATATGACAGAAACAGATATGCAAATATGAGGGGGCTGTGCAACTTGCTGTCTTTGAACTCCAGGATGTGCAGAGCTAAAGACAGCACAGTACTGTACATCACTTAGAATGTCAATTTTCCACTAAGGATTTCACCCCGACCTCTGTTTCAGCTGTCATGCTACTGTCCCTGAGGGGGGCCAACTGCACTGTCACCATAATTTATTTTAACATGCATTTTCCTTTGTATTTTGTGAAAGGTTATGGCTCCCACGTACACCTTCCAGAACATGTTCGTGATGTTGGAGAAGGACGAAATACCACACGACTTACCACCAAACACATCTCCGTTCTGGTAGTTTTTCCCCTTCTGAGTTTCCTCTTCGTTTTGAACAGTAGAAACATGCTTGGCAGAGGCACAGCCCATAGCTTCATTCAGACAGCTCCAGCTGGATCAAACCACAAATCATGTCTAGAGACGCACGCTCATTGTTTTAAAAATAATCCACCTTCCTACGGGGTTCTCAAGTCACTTTTACCTAAAAGACAGCAAAAGAGAGAAATATCTGATACAGGCAGAGTATGATACGACATAGGTAGGCCACTATATAGGTAGATCAATCCTGCTTTAGGACAGGAGCGCAGGAACTGAACTCCAAAGTCTCTTCCAAATCTACTCTTTAATCCGTGGCTTGAAGAAGGCAACATGTTCACAGATGTTTCCCACCCACCCAGCCATTCTCACAGAATGTGGGAATGTTTTTTTCTGGTTTTTTTTCAGAAAGAAGACAAGAAATGGGCAATATCTGCTCCTCCTGTTCTTTTTACCAACCTCCCCATCAAGCCAGATTTCTTACAAAGTGTTTTAGTGATTAAGAGCTGCTAATTGCAAGTGTTCAGACAAAATAACCTCCCTAAATCAATTAAAGATCTTATGTTAATAGATGTGGAAGAGGATAGCCAGCTGCATTATCTTTTTTCTGTGTGTTCATTACTCTACTGGATCCATTAAGCCTCCACTGCTCAAAAAGGCAACTTATCTCCATCTTAAGATGGAGCAATACTCCCTGAACAATCCAGACATAAAACAAAAGGGGAAAAAAAAAGCTAATTTATAGCTTAGAGGAAATAGAGAACCACCCCTTCTTACAAAGTTGTTTACTTCAGGCTATAGCATAAGATCACGCACACAATTCCTTAACTCATTACTTCTGGGTGTTTACTCTAAAAGGATGTGGCTCAGGTTACTCCATGCCAACCGCAAGAATTTTACCTACAACAGCAGACAGATGCTCTTACCTATGACACTGCAGTCTCCATTCCACCAGAAATATATAACCCCAAAGTAAATCTTCCGAACTTTATTTCCCTGAGTGC